GAGAAGGCCTGCTTCATCGCGGTTCCGTTTTCCCTTCCATCATCCTCTTTTCCATCCTGCTTTCCTTTGAGTCAACACGCGCCACGAGATCCCCTCCCCTCCCTCCTTCAATCAGCCTCTTCCATATTTATGCCCCGGATGGCATTCCTCGCGGAAAATTTTCCTCCGTAGTTCAAAACGGACTACATTATCATAATCTGTCGGATGGCACACCGACACCGCCTCGAGGACTCGGTGGCTTTAACGTAATTATTAATCAGAATCCAGAAGATGATGACGCTGCGGGGAGCACGTCACCTCCTCTACCCCGTCCAATCTCTTCTCATCCGCTGATAATTCGTGATTTCGATTACGAATATTTAATATTACGTGTGTATTTTATGTGTGTGAATTAAATATTGGTTTAGTTTACTTACTTTTAAAATTTTCGAGAATTTTTCGAGAGTACGTTAGTTGAATCGAACGACTCGGATCTGATTCGATCTTTTTCTTTTTTCCTGTTGTTTCTTTTTCTTTCTAATTGTGAATATTTATACATACAGCTTTACGATTCCTGGAAAAGTTTGATCGAATCCGGGTAGAATGTTTAACTTGAACTTGTAAGTTTAGATAGCTCGGCCAAATAATGGCAGTTTCACTGGCGGAATCGAGCAATCTTCCATTTAGTAGAATAAGTTTTGGTTAAGTAGATGCTCGAGCGGAGGGAATTTAGGTTTAACGAATTGTTTGTAAAATTTTTGAGAAAAATCGGGTTCTTGTGGGCCGTTCGTTCAACACGATTTTGATGAAATTTCACCGGGCCAGTTATAAAATTTTACCTCCCTCCGCGCGCGCAGACTTTTCACAGTTTTCCTCGCTTCCACAACCACTTTTGCACACCGGCCGCGCTTTCTTTCGTATCTCGTAGCCACGTTCCTTCTGCTTACATTCCGCAAAAACTTTTCAGAATGCAATTACGCCGTCCATCCTCTTATCGGACAACATATTTCCCCAAAACAAAGGGAATTCTTTCGTATTATAAAGTTCCGGAGTTCTGCATACCGGTGGCAAGCAAATAAAAAAAACGCGCGGGATGGGAAAATCAGAATTGAAAATGAAACGATCAAAATTACACGAGAATTTAACATCAGGATAATCTGATCCTGCAAAAATTCTTTTACAAATTTCTTTCAATTTTCCGAAAAAAGAAAGACGAATAGAAGCAAATTTTCTTTCTCTGACTATTCTTCCTTCTTTGACTATCCTCTCCTCGAACAAATTACATCGTATAACGAAAACAAACAAAAGGAATCGAAAAGGAATGAATCGTAACGATTTATCTCTATACTCAAAATAGAAATCGAAGAAAGGAAAAAAAAAACAACAAAACCCATAAATAGAGAGCGTAAGTAAGACGACTTATTATCGGATATACGAGACGTTTACCCGTGTACCCGACACGGCAAAGGCAAGGGGGCACGAGATTACGCCGGTTGAGCTAATAACGCGACCACGTAGTCGATGCCTTTCGCGTCGCGCCCAACCCCCCTCCTTTCATTGTTATTATCTTAATACGATAGTGTAGGGGCTAAAGCACCGTCTGACCTGCTCTCAGTTTAACGAGATTAGCATAATACCGCGAAGCCCTTCTCAGAAGTCTGGCCCTCCCTCGCCAATCGCCCCCTTCGACCCGCCCACCCCTTCCATCACCA